GGATTGGCAATAGTGGGAAACTGCCGGGGAGGGAGGGGCACATTTAATCAACAAGGGTACCCACATAATGAACATTTGTATACCTAACTCTGAATTGTATCTTATATCTTTAAAATAATAACAAAATTTTTTTAAATCGTGTATTTTTTTTTTTTGAGTCAGAGTCTCATTTTGTCACCCAGGCTGGAGTTCAATGGCATGCTCTCACGGCCACCATTGCCTCAACCTGCTGGGCTCAGGCAATCCTTCTGCTTTAGTCTTCCAAGTAGCTGGAACTATAGGCATGCGCCACCACGCCCGGCTAATTTTTTCGATTTATTATAGAGATGAGGTCTCGCCATATTGCAGGCTAACCTCGAACCTGTGGGCTCAGGCAGTCCTCTCACCTCAGCCTCCCAAAGTGCTGGGATAGTCTTACATGTTTAAACTTCAATCGCCTTCAAAGTACTTTCCATTTGATTTAAGACACCTATCGAGATGCTTTTTCCACTGCTCAAAACAGTTTTTGAACGCGTTCATTTTGATGCCTTTTAATGCTTCTGCCATTTTTTGTTTCACCTCTTCCACATGGGCAAAATGTTTCCCTTCAAGGAAACCAAAAAAAGTCACTTGGGGCGAGATGGTGTGAATAGGGAAGGTGGGGCTTAAGGATCATGCCATTTTTGGCCAAAAACTGCTGAACACTCAGCATGGTGTGGGCAAGTGCACCTGTAAATCACCCATCATAAAATGGGCAAACGATCTGAAAGAATCTCCAAAAAAAAAAACCTCACTCAGGCACTCTTTCCTTTTAGAGACTTGCCTGTGCCAGGCCTTTCTGGTATGAAGTTTTCACCTGACTTTTGTCTCCTGTTTCCACTCTTCTTTGTTTTAAAACTTAAAAAAAAAAATTAACTGAAGCCAAACACAGCCTCTCACAACAACACTAGCTGCTACACTGATGCCGATGGGTTCCTAGAACACTTATCTAGTGGAAGTCCACCCCATAAAAGATAATTCTGACTTTTTTGGGTCGCCCCTCATATACTTTATCCTTATTATTTATAAAGATTGATATATTTATGTTTATAAAGTTGCTTACAAATAACTTCATGATATCCTATGGTATGTATGATTGTATCATAATTTCTTTAAACACTTCCGCATTGAGAGATTGCATTTGTCCGTAGTACTTTACTATCATAATAATGCTACAACAAGGCACAGTGGCTCACACCTGTAATCCCAGCACTTTGGAATGCTGAGGGGGGAGGGTCACTGGAGCCGAAAAGTTTGAGACCAGCTTGGGCAACATAGCAAGACCCCCTCTCTCCAAAATAATAATACTACTACAACAAATATCCTTGTTTGTCTGTCTTTCCTCACCTGGGTGCATGTTTCTCTCGTGTACAAATGAAATTGCTATCTCAGAGGGCACATACGTTTTAAATTTTGATGGAAGCCACCAAATGCCCTCAGTAAATGCTATGGCAACTAACACTGTCCCAAGCCTGGAAGAGGCTTGCTTCCTCCCACCCTGACCACGGGAAGTGTCAGCAGTCTTTCCTCTCTGACTCAAATCTTGATTACCCATTGGACTGCACACACCACGACAGAACATGTGGAGACTAGAGGAAAAGAAAAAAAACTAGACTTTTTTTTTTTTTTTTTTTTT